ATTAACCTTGGTCGGTGAATGATCTTGCTCGCTATACTACTCGGAACTACGTCACGGCGTATGTAAAATTCATATTAATTAAGTTATTAGTGCTATTATTGTCTACCAGTAATAGATAATTGAACATTGGTATTACATATCACACAATATTGTCACGTTCGCAGATGGGGCTACCTTGAGATATTAATATTATTATATACGTAACGACAAGAAATATTAATGAAAAGAAGAATAGGTGAAGATGTTAAGTATCGCTTCGCTAATAACCAAGAAGAAATATCACCCAACAAGTCAGTATATTTATAATGAATATCCTCTCAATCCAGATGTTTCCTTAAGAATTGAGTTAATACATCTTATTATTTGGATATTTTCCTACTAAGAGGACTATTGCATTTTAAGTTATTATCATGATTATTCTTATTATTTGATTTTTAGTCTGGTATTTTTAAGTTGTATTTTCTCTAAAGGAAAATCTTTTAATTAACAAAGTGCTAACTTTTTTATTTGTTTTTATTATCTTTTGAAGACATTTTTAGAAATAAGTTATAGTTAGTAATCAAAACATAACAAGTTTTCCTTTTTAATGGTTATTTTCTCCGTTTATTTCTTAAGGACAAACAATATTACTATCGCTCTTCAAGTTATTATTATTATTTTTTTCGTTATTTGTTCCATATCTGGAATTTGCGTTATTATTTTTTCGTTWATCATTATKTCMCATTTTTKTYTGCTGCGATTGCTGAAATAACATCCTTCTTTATCAGCGCTAGCTTTTTTTTCTTTTCTACTTATAACCAGAAACGTAATATAAATAGTTAACACAGTGTGTGAAGAGGAAAACAAATACTTTCACCCTATGTTATTGTTCAATAACTCTGACATTACATCGATTACCATAAATTAGCATTTTATAAACCAAATAGTACTTAATAAAGCTTGTCAGATGTAATTTGATAAAAAAATTACATGATAAATAGTTCTTATCAGAACAATTCGTATAAAAAACTGCTTGATGCATTACGTTGGAGGTTTATCGGTTCACGTTCACGTTCACGTTCTTATGAAATGGATGGTTGATAGTACACAATAAACTCCTCCACATGTCATGCGTCAAAACATTTAGCCAAGGTCGCATGAATWGTGTCCCACTTACTTGAATAATAGAAAAATCCTTAGTCATAACAAATACATAGCTCTAATATGTGAAATARGTAAGCGGCAGATTCTGTAAAACATTAATTTTACATAGAATAGACGTACTTATGTAGTAATTTTACCTTCTTAATGTTTTATTTTTTATTTTTTAACAGAGAATAAAGACAAGAGTTTTATGAAGAGAAACAACATTAAAATACATTTCTTTTAAAAAAGGAGCAATCAAAACCTCATCAAGTTTGTCAAAGCATCAAAAAGTTTGCCAAAGTTTCAAAGTTTATGCAGATTGTGTAAACACTGCGGCTTATATACACATAAACACACAGCTCATGGCAGACTCAGTCAAGGAGAAAAATATGCCAACCATCTCATCAAACGTATACGGTGGCTTACAGAAATGGGTTAATCGAGCTAGCGTCTCCCTACGCGGTCGTCGAAGAAGCAGGAATAATTCCGACGCCYCAGTTTTGACAAGAAATCAACAAAACTATTTGGAAAACATGACTTCAAAACCGAGCAAGATAGTTCCTGTACATGGGAGATCAAGAAGCACWCCGGTAGAYATGCCAGAGGACTCGTCAACTTTTGAAACTTTTCCTCAGAAAATACCTCAAGTTATTAAAATGAAAAATTCRGAACGACGAAGGAAATATTCATCGGAGAACAGTGATGACAGCTCGTCAAGAGGCTCTCTCCACGAAGCTAAAGACATGTCTGCATTGAATAGAAGACTATCGAACAATCTCAGCAAGTCTGAGAGTAGTCTACTGGATGGAACTCGCTATTCAAGACGTTCAAAGTCCCTTCCAAAGCCAAGCTTTGGTCGCCGGAAAAGCAGTTTAGGCCAAGCTCGTAATACAGACAGTAATTGGTCAGAATTGGATATTAAAGGTCATAATAAGAACTCACAAAGCTCCCAAAGTTTAGATAAAACAAATAAGAAAGACAAACGTCATTCAGGTGAGCACAAAGCGAACTCTATTGGAATAAACAAATCTGAAAAACCTTCGACAATTATCACTTCAAAGAACATACATACCCGTTTGGACATGTGGCTGGAAAAAACTAACGATTTCAAAGATTCCAGGCAAAGTAGTTTCGAATCGACAAGCTCAAGCGATGAACTTTTCTRCGAATCTAAAGCWCGACCCGATGAGACAAAACACTTTCGAGATTTGCAAACAGCTCTTGATGAGCTTGTTTCAAGCTGCGGCAAAGGAAACATGGAAAATAAAGATCATTATRCAACTCAACGGAAGATCTCTCTCAAGAACACTGGTCCTATGTTTAACAAAACTGTCGACATTGATCATAGTTTACAAGACGAGCGAAAGACTACATACAGAACAGAAAAAGGTGGATCATCAAGCGACAGCGGTCTGTCTAAAGAAACCCATCTCGATGATGACAAYGAGGAGAAATACAGCATGGAAGAGAGATGYGATTTGGAAAGCAGCTATGACAGTGTGGATGGTTTTACTGATGGACATGACAGATGTAAAGATGTTCCTTCTTGTAAAGACTSTGTAAGTGATATTGGACCAAACATGGATACCACGCGTGCCACGAATATTAGAGATGATCATGGAGCGTGCAAYACTACAAAAGATRCATCAAGTCTTTCCGTAATAAATGGACCAACAAARAWACGCCAGGCTCCAAAAACTCCCAAAGAAAATATCAACATTGACAATAAAGAAAACCTTTTGCGAATGRCTGATGAGTCAATCAAGAATTCTCCTGCAACTATCCCATTGTCTCACAGTACAGAGAAGGTGTCTAAAAATCCTCAAACTGTAGTRTTTGACGAMGACTTGGAGGCTTTCGCACTGAAGTGTGTTGAGGCAAGCAAGTCTCTTGAAAGGGATGAGAAGACAAGCAAAAGTGACAGTGATGATGAGAAGAAAACGGCATTAGATCTAGATTATGTATATATACCAAAGAAAACTGTCAAATCTCGAACTCATCCTGAAACTACTTCTCATAAAGTGAGCTTGCCTTCAAATGCTTTTTCRGACGATGAGGTCTACACTTCGAAGAGTGAGGTACAATCTTCGTACCCCAAAAGAAATTCCCAGGACAGTCTCGATGGGCTTGTTTTATTCGAATTGCCAGCTAAAGATATTGACTTTGATAACAACGAAAGMAAATATAATTCTTCTAATGAAACTGACAATACTAGAGAAACATTGAAAGTGGATAATGGTGGATACAGTCTGCGAAAGTTTCCTTCTATGCCCTTATTTTATGTKCCTAATGATGGCACTAGAAAGTCCCGTGGSAAATCGTTATGGAAAAAACTTAAARGTCTGCCTCGCTCGACAGACACTCGCGTACCATCGCCAACCATACAAAAGACAGAACATTCACAACCCATTCAACCAACTGACCCATTTTACCATGGTGAAGACGATCAGGAATTAGGTCCAAAAATGAGACCCAAGTCCAATACAATGGCTAATGGAGAGGCGAAAAAACGCAATCGTCGAAGGCGTTTATCGCTAGAAGTGAGAAAGAGTGATCCAGGTTCCAGTAATTYACCCTCAGAAAACACAAAGACTGATATGCATGTCATGTATGATGCAGCACAAAAACCAATGGAATCACAGTGTTAAAATGCGGAACTTATGTTTTACGAACAACATCGAATATTATACCAATGTTCGTATTGCTGAACAACCTTGGTTATCCGGCCATGAAAGCTATCAGGCCATGTTGAAACATCGAAGACTCAAAAACAACGTGTGCATGACACCAACATCTTGCTATAATGTGACCAGTCAAGTCTATTAATGTACAAACATCAAAAGGTACAAAACCAGTGTTTGTACGAGATGATTATATAACTTTACTCTCGCGACCGCGRTCAAGCTATATACAAACATCGAAGGTACGAAGCCAATGTTTGTATAAATAAAAACCCTTACAATGCGACCACTGCATGCGAACAATAATCAGAGAAAGTGAATTAATGAGGGTAAACTATCCAAATCTCACGTGGGACATCAAAGGCAATGGTCCAATGCCCCAAGGAATAGACATTCAAAAATGACATAAACTTGTTCTACTGTTCCAAGCAAAGAGAAAGAACTAAAGTGGCTACATGGTATTGCACTCAATGAGCTGAACAAATTGCGCTAGTGAGCAATATTTTCATTATAAGTGTTATATAGCCTAGTAACAGTTTTCCGAACCAAATATATATTACGTATTTGAGTCAAATCCCTCCTTTTAACGGGAAATCCTCCGTGTATAGGCCATCTAGGGTAGCTAAAAGTTTTCACAAATCTTCTATGGAATCAAATATTATATTGATCACTGCCAAGCCACGCTACATGTTATAGTTTTTTCACCTTTTTGAATTTTCCGMAGMGATTTGAAGTGGCCAATCTATATATTTATCAAGTTTGAATCAAACGTCAAAGTCGCATATGTTGTGCAATGCACTTAGATAGCAGATAACCTCGTTCACAGGCTCTTATCACTAAGTTTGCGGTCTTGTCCCGCGTGATGAATTGGGAACTAGATATGCCAGTATGTATATATACTATATCAAAGAATATATGGAGATCTCCTGTTCAAGACAGGAAAAATCTCCATAAACCAACCACTTATTTGAACTCCCCTAAAGCGACCTCCTTGCTTATGTTATTGCTGGCGTACCTTTCTAAATCGACCATCATCTAATCTGCTGGCACTTTGGATGGTCAGTGTGAATATTACAAACAGATATATTTTATTACAGTATAAATAGTTTTGTGGATCTAAGCTGAGTATTTGTAAATCAAAACTGACTTGTAATAAGTGATCACCAGTGTATATACAATAAATAGAATTTCTCAAAAACGTTTGTCATAACTGTTGATAGAGSGGATTTYGTATGAGTGGGAAACCGACGGTACTGTACTGTGACCGTAATCGTACTGTAACCGAATTCTAGTGCCCTATTGGTTCACCAAAATTTTGCAGGCCAGGTCCGGTAACTGTGCGGTAACCGTGCGGTAACGGTGTCMCACTCATACGAAATCCGCTCTAGTTTCCTCTTAGAGCCGTTGATACGAGGCTCGTTCCCAGGTCACTCGAACCTCATAACGGCTGCGAGTGGAAACTAAACTGCTCATTGAATGAAAAAGAAGTAATGAAATGTGTACGMGTGGAGAAAAGTATATTTTTCTATGTAAGTATTCTCTTTGCGGTTACGCGAGAGGCCTAAAAGAGCAATTTACATGACGAGGTCTCCCCGCCTGTTTATGGACGGGATTCCTGTGTTTGTGTCTTGAACGCTGCAGAGTACAGCGRGTCACAAGCACGTAAATAGATTTTGACTTTTGTTTTGCTTGTTAATGTCTACTGATAAAGGAAATGTAGGCTTCATTGTGGAATTATCTTTGGATTGATGAAATAACAATCGTGTTACTCTATATCTATATACTTTGTAGGGGAGGGGTGAGACAGTAGTATTGTATTCATAAACAATGACGTCATAGGGCTACATGAATTATTATCACTCGGCATCAAATCGAAGTACGAGCAATAAACAGATGAACATGCTTCGTCGATAAATACACATCAATCCAAGTTGATCTATMGATTGAATCCTGACGAGTTGAGCTACAGATAAACATCATCAACGAAGAAACGGACTTCTTGTCGTTAAAGTGGAGTGATTCAAGYGAGCATGATATAGCAGATCGATCAAATACCTTCACATACCGCCATGTGTACACGGCTTAAAAACAACGCCAGAAAACTGTGGACTCTCAACATTACAAKATCAAAWCGCTGAGGGATATCACTCGCAAGAAATGAACTCAACAGATCTTGTTGACGAGAGGAAATTTGATTTTGAGTTGTTTGGTGCTTACATGACACTTATTCTTGTCTTTGTGGCGATTATTATAAAATACGTGATATTTGCTTGAGTGTTGACAATTCATTGGACATTGGTTTCCTGCGGTGAAAATGTTGTTGTGTGTTAAACTTTGGTTTAGTGGCAACCAACTGAGATGATTATTCATGAAAATCGCGAGAAACTATTATAAATAACTTACTAGTCAATAACGCAAAATGCCAAGGAAGATAAAGCTTGGAAAAATAATTCATATGTAAGGATTCCAGTCAAGTAAAAGAATCTGAGAACTTWACTGATGTACACARCAGCAAACAAACTAGCTTGTTGTTGGATGTGTCGTTGTTGATAAATTGCTRAGGCATTTGTCATCACACAGTATAAATTATTGGATGATCAAGAGCAAGAAATCTTATAAATCCCAAACTCTATCAATTCAGGGTAATTATCTGAACCAAAGCAAGTGATGAATTTTCATACTGTCAAAATATTAAAACCTCATGCGTGGATATATATGTTAAGTGAAAAGAGAGGTCAAACGTGTTTTTCATTGAGAAGCTCATCAATGTGTGACTGCCCTCGCCACAGAACACAAAGAAATCGGATGCTGGATGGGTACCGTACCAAATCATATGAGTTGACTATAAGACAACRTCATGTATTGACTTTGTCAGAAAGCAGATTTCTCTAAATCATAGCAAAAAATAACTTAWTTTTTTTACCTTGACTTTGATATGGTTACAATGATATCAAAGTACAAGAGTGCATGCATATTAGAGGGAAATACTTTCTCAAAGTATACTTCATAGCAAGGAATTGTTGGTTCGCATTGTAATTATGACATAAGCATGCAATTTGGGTTACATGGCCAAAAGACTTTAACAACTTYTTTAGCTGCAGCAGTTGGTTTATAGAACTTGTTATACCCACTGCACGTAAGTTGTTATCCTTCTGTTTTGGCTAAAGATTGTGTATGTGATTCTGCGCAGCATAAGTACTAGGTTATCCAAAGCTTAATGTGTCTGTGCTTGTTAAGCTTTTGTTTATATTACAATGTGAATGGGACTTAATTAAGAATAATGAACAATACATATTTCCCATCTGTGAATACAATAGCAGCCTGCCAATATGTGGGAGAAAACTATTGAAAACTATTTTATAACAATTATTGCCACACATAGAAATAATTGTATTCGGTAAATGATGTTTTAATAGGGGGCTTGAAGCTTAGATATTTTTTAAGAGTGTGTTTGTAAAAAAAATAGTACTATTTTTGTACGTTTTATAAGTCAAGATGTGAAAATAAAATTTTCACAGTTCTGATCAWAGTACTATGTTCTGGATGCATGAGTAAGGAGTAATTTACCTAGCTTGTTTGTAAGAGCATAAGTTAAAAATAGGCAGATGAGGAATATGACTTAGGCCATCAAGTGATTTAACACTATTTTCAGTATACAACGTTTTGTGAATTATCTGTATACACTGCAAGGGAATGGACGTGGCCTATAAATATACAAGAGCCGGCGATTCCCAGGGGCCAAGGAACCTATTGTGATGGTCAATCATTCCCCTCTCCCGTGAGGGCCTGATGCAAGGCGCCCTGTCCCTGCCTACAGTAAACATATCCATCTGAAAGATTTGGAAAAGTGATTTTTATCACGACATGGATTCCTTAGAACTTGTAGTCATAGACATCTTTCTGTATTTGTTGACATGAACTCATGATCAAACTCATGATCAAACTCTCGAACGGCATCGATAAAATGTTTTATCATTCAAACTGTATTTTTACTCTAATTCATCTAATTATAGTTTTGCAATAAGACCCAAAGACTGTTAAGTTTTTTTTTACCATTCTTTTTTGATTTTATACTGATTAGTCATTGATCCTCTTCATTTGTTAACATTCGCTATACTTTATTTACATTTAATAATTATATGATAATTAATATTAACCCCTTGTAAACTTTTATATCATAAAGACACCACTTCATTCAAATCACTATCATGCCTTTGATTGCTCTGGTCATTTTCCTGTTTTCAAAGTTGTTGTCAAAGTTGTTGTCAATGTTGTTGTTGTTGTTGTTGTCATTGCTGTTATTGATGTGCATGTTGAAATTGTTGTCGACATTCCCAGGAGATATTATTTTCCATTATAGAGATTTTAACACGACAGTAAACGAAAACGTGGAACGTTCGAGTGCAATGTTGGAGTTTCAGAGGTCTTTAATTGCTCCGTTCAATCCCGGCAAATCTTTGGCAAAAGCTAGTACATGTATCTGCTTTCTCTAGTAGCGGCTGCCTTCTGGTCTGTAATACGTTAAGAATTTCAAGAAATTTTCTTTCATGGTATTCATCCGAATACTTTTGATGTCCGTCTGATATAAGAAATGTACACCTTTCCTGTGATGATTTGGAAAACAATAACAACAGTTGAACAGCTCGGTGAAAGGCGTCACAGTTCATCGGTATTCGGCCACAAACCAGCACTCGGCACCCACCCCACCCCCCATCAAATAATAAATCCACTGAAGAATAATTATGCAAACCCTTTATCGTTTGGTAATTCCTGAACTGAGCTCTGATTGGCTCACTGCTCCCTAAGGATTTCGTGACGTCATATATTAGCATAGAACTTCACCGAATAGACTACCCCAATTAGATATTATATATCTCAAGTGTCTTCATAGTACGATGGTCTAAGAGGGTAGCTAAAGGTATGCTCTAGTGGGCGGCTACCCCCTCACTCCCTGGCCTTTTGGTTAAGACTAAGTTTTATGTTCACTCGGGATAGCGTGGAAGAGCCGAAATCTCTAACCGTAWCGTAAGCCGATTCGCCGCCTCAGCTTCATAGAATGTCTCGGGGGAATCGTCCCATCTTTTTAGATTTTTWWTTTYMWTWWTTYYT